AAGTTAAGTGGATAACACAATTGCGTTTAATGCGAACGGTACTGGGTTCGATTCATGGAGTGAACATCAACGTTTTGATGCAGGTACATCCGACTGACAAGTCCAAATAGGACTGAAATGTTATTTAAAATAATGAAAGGGTGAATAAATCTAATCAAAAATCAACACACTACTAATTATGCTTGATATAAAACAGAGTTTTATGATAAAATGTAGCATTAATTTTATAATAATTGAATGTAGAAGATGTTCTATGTTATGGTAACGATTCATGCTAGTATATTAGGTTAACGTTAAAAATTATTGTTCTCATGAACCAGAAAACAATTTGTTATGCCATTTGTAAAAAAAACTGTCTTAGAAATGCTTATTGGAATTTTTTAACCTTTTGTAATTTGTGATATCACCAATTTGTCCTTTCTATTAATAAAACAACTAAAGAAGATATCATTTAAAAGATGAGTTAGATCAATCATGAAAAACATTCTATTCCATTTATGTACTCAACAATGTAAATTAACAGTTAATCAGTATGATATATGAAAGACAGGATCTCCTCCTGTTATTTGTCGGCAGAAACATAATATGCATCAATGTTCAGTAGACGACAGCTACAAAGAATTACAATTCTTCAAAGGGCATCTAATAAAATCAAAATGACTTATATGAACGTATCTAAAAAAAATCTAGACACGAATTCAATTGGAGGGATGATAAAATTTCTAATCAAAAATATTCTGAGATTACAAGAGATTTCTCTTACTAGGACTGCAGTGAACGAGAATACAAGTGGGGACAATCGAATGTATCTTAACACAAAATTACAGAATCTCTTAATAAAATTTGAGGATCTTACAGTACATACTTAATTTGCAAAATATCAATCAATTGTCTTAAACTTGACTGTTCTGTTGCAAATGTCAATCATTCGTCTCAGACTTCACTGTTTCGTCATTTCCATACTAATCGCTTTCGGTTCCCGTTCTTTCCTTTTCTATCTTCTGCTGCCAGACGTTCTATTCTTGACTAGCTTTATATACTACTTATGCCGATATAAGTAGGACATATGACAGGACTAATTTATAATTAACAGATATATGATCCTAAATCCCATTTATCAACCGCTAAAGATAAACTCAAGCAATTGTATTCTCGGGAATAAATCTGACAAGACGGTTATTTGATGCCATTCATTTCTTAGTACTGGTTTATGTACCCCGTTAAGTGGTTGAGACACTATCCAGTCATTCAAATCGAAATAAGTTAAGCGGGATTTAAATTAATAAACTATTGACTGAAAAGTCAATATCTGAGCCACTTTTGGAAGGGTTTTATAAATCCCAAGTAAAATAAGAAAATCTATAAAGAGAAAAAACCCTATTATAATTAACGTTGTTAGAATGGACTTATATGGTACTTGAAATATTCAAATCTACTTAAAATTGGGGTTAATAATGACGAAACAGATGAAAATGTAAACGTTTACATTAAATTGTCTCATTAGAAAAATGCAACATCATTAACAGTGTTTACATCAGTTACTAATTTTCTTTAATTAATCTAATTATGTAATTAGAGGATTAATCTATTTGTTATTTATATTTTGATAAATTAATTACTCAGTTCGACTTTCATGTTACAAATTCAAATAATTCAAAATTAGATTGATGGAAAATATGATTATTTAAACATCCGATATATAAATAAATTTATCTGTCAATTAATCTTGTTGTTTTAAATGATTTCATTACTGACTATTCGTCATCATTATCGCATAGTCTAAGGTTTATGTAAAGATAGATCAATGCTTCTTCTTATTATTGTTATTTAAACACACAAACATTGGTACAACGAGGCACCAAATGTATATGTGCCACATCTCGTCATTTGATTTGTGTGAAAACTGAGATACTGCTCGGGTGCCCAAACCGAAACAGGTGGTCTGCTTAGTCTTTTCTTACAAACATAAATTGTTAGTACATTTATTTTTATTTATTTATTTGTTTGAACACATAAATATTGGTACAAGAGGACACCAAATTCATATGCGCCGCACTTTGTGTAAAGGCCGTAATAATGCCCGGGTGCCCAGACCAAAGTAGGTGGTTTTCTTAGGGGGCCACACTCGGAGCCGTTTGTCCTAAAGGTCTGATCCAAAAGGCAGTCGAGCAACGTTAGGAGACGCAGACATATGGTAGCCGGTGACCAATAATTGGTCCATACTCCGTTTGTTCCGTCGGGATCCTGGAGCCCATCTGCACCATTGTTTTGTAATCAGGGTTTTCCAACTAACTCTCCTAGGTGTATCCTCCATATCCACCAAGCGGGTTAAAGCGCCGGACATTCGCCTTTCGTCCTCTCAATTTCGTAAACAACACTCCCACTACAAGAAGTCAATGAGTAGGACTTCCTTAGCAGTGGTTGTATGCACGTGGCTATGTGAGAGCGTTTGAATTGGGGAAGTTAACTCTCCCCACTCTCGGCCATACCAGAGGATTTGAGGTCAATGCTGTATATTATTGTTATTTATAAATAACGGAATCATATGTTGTGTATAGTGACAACTAGATAGATTGAAACTGTTTAGTTAGAGTTAATTGATTCGATATTCAAATGTATGCTTATGCAAATCTATTATCAGATATATTTAGAGAAAACATTATCATTCTGTTGATAGATGGATAAACTATACTCTATTAAATGATTTATAGTTGAGATAGTTAAATTTTGAGATAAACAATTAAAAAATTTCGAAGATAAAATTTTACATACGTAAATTAAGTGAAAACAATTTTTTTTAATTGGAGATAATCGATAGCAAACTTTAAACTTGGGTTCAGTAATTGTTATAAATCAAGAGTATGTGTAATCCAGAGGAATAATGATAGGTAGTAAAAATATTGTGCTTATAATAATTGTATCAGCTAGAGATGTTTCTATACAACCACATGAAATATACACAAGTAATATAGAGAGAAATTCAAATAAAATAGTAACATGAGTCGTGAACCTATATTTACCAATATTCATTGATGCTTCACAAAGTTGAGAAAAAGATCACAGGCAAATCTTTAAAAGTTTAATTTATCAATGTACATTTTAACATTGAAGACCAGTTGCAATATTATAATTTTTATTTGTATAACGATCGACTTTGAATGATAATTTCAAAGCATCTTGGAAAGAAAAAATAGGCTTTCAAATGCTAGTTTTATTTTATTAACTTGGAAATCTACATTCAAGTAAAAACATGACATCTATTAAACGATTCGTATAGGTTTTGTTCACGATATTTTGAAAAGATTTAAGAATAATTTTCAACATATGACTTTCAGTTATAATGCGCTTCATAGTAGGCCTGATATAACTTTTATCAAATTTATGATAACTAGTTAAAAAAAACAGTGGTATCATCCATGAGTTATGAGCAATATTATTACAACATTCATTTATTAGAAGAAAAGATGAATGGTGGCTAGCAGTGGAATCCAGGATGCGCGTTTCGTTATATTTGGGATTTGTCAGCTGGATGTACCTTCATTCCAGAATTGATGTTTACTCCGGAACTCGCACCCAGTAATAATGTTTGTGAATTATGGCAATATCGTGGCACTCCGCACAAGATGCACATATGGTATTAAGAGACTGATCAGTAGCAGTCTTAAATATTCATGGAAAAATTCAAACAAACAATACAAAATTCATTCATCAAGTTAAAAAGTGAATCAGTTTCTTATTGACTGAACAATCCAAATAGACTAATACAAATATAGGAAACAGTAAACGAGAATTTGATCATGTTGATCTACAAAGCTGATATGAAGTAGAGTAAGAGAGTAAACGGCTCTAATTTTTTAGTAATTTGTTTAGAATTTAGACTTAATTAACCGACTATGAGTAACTAATTCTTACAACGAAAGGGAAGATTGCTTAAATCTACAGAAGGGAAAAATAGTTAAGATTTTATCACAAATTTTATCATAAACTGATCGTAAATGAATAGGAAGATGTTATTTGCAAAACTGTGTCTTCGATTATCACTTACGTTTTCTTGAGTTAAAACTATATTTATACTAATTTTATGAAAGTATTTCCGGAGAAGACTTGCATATTTGTTTATTATCGTGAAGTTAATCAAGTCAACAATTCTTTCCATGCACTGAAATTCAGATATATTTAGTTGGGCTCTTTTAAGTCATGTTACTCTGTAGTATTGTCCTGACAACATGTGACTATAATCAGTAACAAATATATGTGTAATAATGTTATAATCGCTTTTCTAGTTTTATTAGCGGCTGCGCAACTAATTTATACACTTATATAATACTTGAATTTGATTTAACCCTTATACCTAACTGGATAGATTTGGTTATGTGGATGATGATCTGTGAGAAGAACCTTTTAATTTAATGCAAAGATAATTGAGAGGATATACTCTTTACTATGTCAGTTATCCTACATATTCAAAGCCTAAATCTTCAAACAATTTATGAATTACGAATATGTTATTACTACTAGCTTTTTAACTTACTAATAATTTAACGATTAAGACATTTAATAGTTGAATTCATGAGTCACTTGAAGTTAGACCACCATGGAAAACCTATAAGCACTGGACGGCCGTTTCATCCTAGTGTGGGACTCCTTAGCAGTGCCTATCCGCGATCCCGCCCCCCACGAGATCCGAACCCAAGACTTATCAGTCTCGCGCGCAAGCGCTTAACCTCTAAACTACTGAGCCGGCATCCAACGATGTTAATGTCTAACTGTAACTAATCCATAAAGTTGCGCCACCGTCCACCATTATTATCAGTAAGTTACCATCTCACATTTCTTCATATTCACACTTCAAGTGAAATGAATAAAAACAAAATAATTGCTTAATATTATCATTTTATTTCAATATGTATATTTCTTTAAAAATTTCGCTGATATATTGTATATATATTCTTGACAAATTCATTTTGTATTTTCTTAATCATCATAATTTTCAACTTCATTTATCCGTATCTAAAATGAAAAAAGGAAGAAATGAATATATATATATATATATATATATTAGTCCTTTAAACATACTACTGTTAATTGCCAAACGAAGTTGACAAAAAATTGTATTCAGACCTCAATAAACTTGGCCTTTTGAACACTTTGTTAGTTATTATTATGCTGTAAAGTTTTTGCTAAAGTTTTGTTCTGGTTTTATAAATTTTTTTGTGTGTAGCAGGCTGTCGTTTGAATCAAACAGAGTTATGAAGGGGTGAATTTTTAAGATATTATAAAACATACCACTTAAAATTGTTATTCATAAGTACAATTTTCTTATATGGTTCAATTATTGAATGCTGGAGAACACAGATATGGTGTGGAGGATGCAATAGGCCGATCACTGTCCAAACGTTTCTCATAACATTATCCGACTTGGCTTTTAAAAAGAGAATGTAAAACAATTGCTAGTTCGATACAGTAGCATTTAATTAATTGTGGACACATCGCTCCAAAAGATTTTTCTTTTGAAGTAATCTACAGAGTCAAAGCAGAAACGATTCGTCCAACCTCTCATCCTTCCTTGGCCTTAATTTCCTTAATGAGTATGTTTCTAGGTTGTTTTCTGCATGTTTTTCTGCACTTTTATTTGATTATTATCGGATTCTTTTTTAAAATTTATTATTTTGCAATTTTAAACTCATTTATTATTATTACCTTATACAAGTTTTCTTGATTATTATTCAGTTTAGATTATTCCGACCTTTATTTTTGTCGTTATTTCTTCATATCCGTCAATTAGATTATTAGCTGACCCATAAACTATTGTCTCCGTTACCTCCTGATTAGTGCGTAACCTCATTTGTTATTTAGTCTTGAATCCCTTTTTGTGATGTAATCTTTTCTATCCTCCTATAGACATATATTTTCCAGATAACTATATCTACGAATGTACAGCTTAAGTAAATGATTTTGTCGAAAAGAGAAAAATTGTCTTCGCTGAATCCTCTTTTTCTTACTCAATGACACTATGTGTTATTTTAATTATCTGAATTATTATTATTATTATCTAACTTCTCGACTGTTAAATATGACTACTTTTTTATGTTGCTTATAAAAAGCGGAATTTATTGCTGATCAAAGTTTATTCAAAACATTTACATAATATCAGCAGTTGAGATCATGAATCGTTTGAAGCTAGACCACCATGGAAAACCTAGAAGCACTGGACGGCCGTTGTTGCGGGACTCCCCCTCGTGGATGCGCACTGCTGTGGAGTCCCACAACAGGACGAAACGGCCATCCAGTGCTTCCAGGTTTTCCATGGTGGTCTAGTTTCAACCGACTCATGATCTCAATTGTTGAAATTACAACAATCTCCACAAAACCCCTTCCGATACTAATTTACATAATATTTTAAAGTAATTACGGAGAAGGCAACTTGTATTTTTATACATTTCAACGGGTAAAGCTTGTAGGACATTTAAAGATATTTGAAATCACTGTAACTACAGAAAATCAAAATGCATCAGTTGACCGTTTAGGTATTGTTTATTTCTTAACGGAAATACATACTCGCAAATGCACATGCTCAGCATAGAGAGATTTTTTCAGGGATTATTCAATTTTTTATTGCACTACTTAAATACATATATCACTTATGTTAAAACACATGATTAATAAATTGTTCAAGAAAAATTCAACATCTTTACCCATCAGGAATCATGTACTTTTAGTTTTTCAAATAGAAAGATACTGAAACACGATTACATTCAGGAGATTCTTAAAGATCATTTCAGTACAAAATTGTTGAACATCAATTATGTTAAGCAGTTAAAGCTTTCATGTTTATCACAGTAGCTTTTGTACTAAGCAGATAGATATGACTAATTCATTTAGGGAAGTTACATAAATTAAAACTAGTGGCATATTGGTTTTAGTATCGTGGACCTTCCAATTAACCCAGTATATTTGTATAATCAGCATTTTCCCAAGAACTGTTGATTAGCAATCATAAATAAAATGAGTGTTTAACTTAATCTTAGTCTAAGTTACTACAATCATAAGAAAAGCTAGTACTTTTATTTGTTTATTATGTGTGTAAAAAGCAATGATTTATTTTGTCAAAGTCATTTGACAAAATGTGCTTCATTAGAGTCATTCAATGGAAAGTAAGTTTTCAACTTCTACTCAAAGAAAAAGTTCGTAAGTAAGTAATCTATCTCAAGGATCAGTAGACCATATATTATTATATTACTTCTTTTAAGTGTAAATATCATCCAAATAAATTATTTTCATTATGTAACAAAATAAGCTGAGTAGTAAACGTTACGCAGTCCATATTCGCCTCTAAATCTAATCAGATTTTAATTATTTAGAATATCTAAAGAAGAAGTTAGACATTAACATCGTTGGATGCCGGCTCAGTGGACCAATGGTTAAGCGCTTGCGCGCGAGACTGATAGATCCTGAGTTCGGATCTCGTGGGGGCGGGGTCGTGGGTGGGCACTGCTGAGGAGTCCCACACTAGGACGAAACGGCCGTCCAGTGGTTCTAGGTTTTCCATGGTGGTCTAACTTCAATTGACTCATGATTTCAATTATTGAAATTACTTAAATATCCACAAAGCCCCTTCTGATAAAGAAGAATAATCATTAAATTAATAAGACGTATTATTATTTGATTACATACATTGACGCTAATAAGCTGTGACAATATATTGAAGGAAAATATAATTATTATCATTATTGATTATTCTGAAGTGGGTTATAATGCCAACTAATTAAATTTATTTTGTCAACACATAAGTCTTTTAGTCGTAATAAACATAGAGCCTGGAGAAAATTTTCAATAACCAAACTGGCGAAATCACAACACGACGCGATGAACTAAAAACTGAATCTTGAAGGAGTGAAAATAATGTTATGGCAGTGTTAATAAGATAAGTTAAACATTAAGAATATGATTCTAGAGGGAAGAGTTAAAAGTTCTGAATGAAAAAATTCTGAGATTAAAATTTCAGGGGCATTGTGACCATTCAATGTTCTTAACTGCTGAAAGAGGATACCCTGCAGGTCTCAACTACTTGGTTTGCCTCTAATAACACGGTTCAGACCAACAGTCAATGACTTCATGGACTGATTTCTCGTCTTTATTTGCCCATCCATAGGTTCCTTACAATCTCCTCCTATGGTAACTAACATTACTTACAATTGTGAGCACGTATTACGTATACCTAACCACCTTAATTGGCGAGGATTCACATCATAAACCGGTTCATCATCTCTGCTCAGTACCCGATGCCTAACCAAAGCATAACTCACTCAATCGTTACATGTTACACTAGGAATATTTCGAAGACACCTTTGATCAAAATTATCAAGCTTATCTATATTTACTTCCATAGACCATATTTCTAAAAGCGGATTGCTGAATAGTAAACTAAGTCTTTTATCGTGAAACTTCTAAGTCTAGTGAGTAGTTTGACACAGTCAACACCTTCATTTATCATGATCAATCTAAGTGATGATATAGAATTTAATTACATTCCTTATTGTTATGTAATGACAAACGTGATTTGAAATTATAAGACTTAATTGATTGAATTATTTTATGCAATTTGTTTACGAGTTTTAATACTGATTGATTAAATAGCTTTCTCGAGCGACAAAATACTGATAATCCTCTATTAATCCTTAATAATACTGATCTAAGAAAGCTGTCCTACATTATGTAATGAATTCAATCTTAATTTATATAATTTGTTCCAGAAATAACTTTCAAATAACACTTTATATAATGCAGTAATCATGTAGTTTATGTTAATTTAACAACAGTGGTTATTTTTAAAAACATTTAATTGTTAGTAACCATGATATCATCAGTTTTTGTTGCTATGATCAAGTTACCGTTATATTTTTTATACATTACTGAAGAGATTTTTTAATGGTTCAAATAAAAGTATGATGTTTGAAGGATTTAACTTTTAATTAAAAAGATTTAAATTCAAACTCTATACTCGTTCTACTCAAACATTTATATAAACATTTGTGTATGATCACTAGTCTATACACAAACAGTAAATATAAAAGTCAAATGCATGAACTAGTTTACGTCAACAGATTATGAAGTGGGAAGATTCAACTGATTACTCTTAAATAGAAATAACACTAAGGTTTTTGACATTTAATATTAGACATTTGATACAAAAATATAACGCTTATCGGCATCAAGATTTCCATACATGTAGTTGACACGCATAGGGAAACTGATCATTTCAATCGAGTATTTAAACAATTGAAAATTAGTTGAAAGCAAAAATTGTATAGAGTTCAATTAATTAATACAAGTTCTGCGGTATTCAGTGAAATCTTATTGACTTACGTAATTACGCCTGTTACCCCCCCATGGAGGACTATAGGCATCCCATAAGCATTTCTCATCGAAATCTGTGCTGGAAAATCATTTACCGTTGGTTCCAGTTGCTACTCATCCTTTTATGTCGCTTTCTTTTCTAGGAACTCTGTGTTCTTTATTCTTTCACGTTCCCATTTCCCTTCAGAACAACAAGTTAGTGCTTGCTTTGTGATACAATTTGAAGATTCCCACACTGTATGTACTACCCACCTCCAAATTCTTCTGATTTCCTCTTCAGCTAGTAGCTGTTTTATTTCCTGTAACATTAAGTTGTTGTTGATTCTATCCGGCCAACGGCTTTGAAATATTCTTTAAATTATCGTTTACAAATGCCTGTACTTTTCTGATGATGGTTATAGTAGTTCTCCAAGTTTCAGCTACATACAGTGGGACTGTCTTGACGTTCGTACTGAAGATTTTGACTTTGATACTGGATGACAATTGTTTTGAATTCCGTACGTTATTCAGTTGTAGGGATGCTGTCCTTGTTTTGCCAATCTTTTCCTTCACATCTGCATCAGATCCTCTTTGTTTCGCATTGATGACCCCCAGAAATGTGAAGGTTTTCACCTGTTTCAAAACTTCTCTATCAAGTGTGATTGAATTGATGC